GTTCTGCATGTCAAAGAATGTTACCTGTCAATTTATAGCAGATATGACTTATTCACAATAAACAATACCCGTGAAAAAAAAACGGGAATATAGTTAACGAAAGTGGGATACACTTTTCAAGGTGATAGTTTCCCTTTTGTTTGCCTTTCCTTTTTCTTGATCTTTTATGGCTTTAAAAAAAAAGCTGTTAATTGCTAATAAACACAGCAAACAGATGCTCACATATGTACACCATTCACTTTTCTATGCACATAATACAACCAACTTTGAACAATATGGATGGTGATACTGTACACGTAGAGTTAACTACATGCCACCTGCTCATTCCATTGTTCTCTGTTACAAAATGCGTTGCTGCTTTGTGCTCTGTGATCTTCAATACTTATTGTTCTGCGGCTGTGTTATAAATATTGCTAGTTTATAAAGATTGTTAAATAGAACATCTGATTTCAAATTTTGCTGAAAGAAAAACATGACAATGTTGCTTGCCTGAGGTTCAGAGGGTTTTTTTTTTTAATCTGCCCTCGTCCTTATTTTATCACCACTCCATGCAAAGAGTCCCACTGTTGTCTTAGGTTTGTTACACTAAACATAAAGGTTAAACATCTGTTTCCCCAAAGGCATTGTGATAGGTCATAAATGCTTTGAATGCTCCCAGGTTTTTCAGTAACTAAGAATGTACGCTGTGAGAATTTTACAAAAGCAAAGGTTTATGCATAAACATGATTAGATCTGAGATTAAAAAAAAAAAAGTTGATAATTTGTCTATGCACAAACAGACTGAAGTTGACAATGAGGCAATTTGTTTTCACTTGATACCATCTGTACGTAGCTTAGATGTGAGTAATTATCAATGATAGTGTGAAATGTTTCAATTTTGTCCTTAAGGGCTTTTACCCTTGTACATTCAAAGCATTCACTGTGTGGAATATACACTTCATGGGGACTCTTTGTGGCTGTGTTTTCAACAAAGTTCAGTTATCAGAGATTGAGTACTGAGTGATTACAGTTGCAAGAAGAAGTATGTGAACCCCTTGGGATTACGTGGAGTTTTGCATGAATTGGGCATAAAATGTGCTCTGAACGTCATCGAGGTCACAACAATAGAAGAACACAGTCTGCTGAACATAATACTACACAAAACATTAGATGTTGCCATGGTTTAGTTGCACATAACATGTAAACATTCACAGTGCAGGGAGGAAAAAGTATGTGAGGCCCTAGCTTAATGAGTTCTCCCAGAGCTAATTGGAGCCAGGAGTGAGCCAACCTTGACTCCAATCAGTGTGATGATATTGGATGTGTTGCTGACAGCTGTCCTGCCCTTAAAAAACACACACCTGTTTTGGGTTTACTGGTTTGAAGAAGCACTGTCTGATGTGAACCATGCCTCGCAGAAAAGAGGTCTCAGAAGACCTACGATCAAGAATTGTTGACTTGCATGAAGCTGGAAAGGGTTACAAAAGTATCTCCAAAAGCCTTGATGTTCATGTGTCCACGGTAAGACAGACTATCTACAAATGGAGAAAGTTTAGTACTGTTGCTACTCTCCCTAGGTGTGGTCGTCCTGTAAAAATGACTGCAAGAGCACAGCGCAGAATGCTGCATGAGGTAAAGAAGAATCCCACAGTGTCAGCTAAAGACCTACAGATAATCTCTGGCACATGCTAACATTTTTGTTGACACATCTACAATAAGGAAAACATTAAACAAGAATGAAGTACATGGGAGGACACCAGGGAGGAAGCCATTGCTGTCCAAAAAGAAGATTGCAGCACGTTTGAAGTTTGCAAAAGAGCACCTGGATGTTCCACAGCACTACTGGCAAAATATACTGTGGACAGATGAAACCAAGATTTTGAGTTGTTTGGGAAGAACACACACTATGTGTGGAGAAAAAAAAAGGCACAGCACACCAACATCAAAACCTCATCCCCACTGTAAAACATGGCGGAGGGAGCATCATGGTTTGGGGCTGCTTTGCTGCCTCAGGGCCTGGACGGATTGTTGTCATTGATGGGAAAATGAATTCCACAGTTTATCAAGACATTTTGCAGGAAAACGTACGACCATCTGTCCGCCAACTGAAGCTCCGCAGAGGATGGGTGATGCAACAGGACAATGACCCAAAGCATACAAGTAATTCAACAAAACAATGGCTGCAACAGCACAGAATATGCCTTCTGGAGTGGCCCAGTCAGAGTCCTGACCTCAACCCGATTGAAATGCTGTGGCATGACCTTAAGAGAGCGATTCACACCAGACATCCCAAGAATATTGCTACACTGAAACAGTTTTGTGAAGAGGAGTGGTCCAAAATTACTCCAGATCGTTGTGCAGGTCTGATCTGCAACTACAGGAAACGTTTGGCTGAGGTTATTGCTGCCAAAGGAGGGTCAACCAGTTATTAAGTCCAAAGGTTCACATACTTTTTCCTCCCTGCACTGTGAATGTTTACATGTTATGTGCAATTAAACCATGGCAACATCTAATGTTTGTGTAGTATTATGTTCAGCAGACTGTGTTCTTCTATTGTTGTGACTTAGATGACGTTCAGAGCACATTTTATTCATGCATTGCAATGCATTGCATTTATTCATGCAAAACTCCACGTAATCCCAAGGGGTTCACATACTTTTTCTTGCAACTGTACATCATGAACACCCTATGGGGGTTATTTACTAAAACTGCAGAGTGTGAAATCTGGTGCAGCTCTGCACAGAAACTAATCGGATTTCAGGTTTTATTGCCAAAGCTTAAAGCTGAGTTCCAGCCATTTCTGTGTTTATTTAACCTCCCTGGCGGTCTAACTAATCAATATTTTTGAATGTCAAAGCAGTACATTTTTCTGCATGGAAATTTGTTGTTTTATATTGTTGGCTTGGAATTCTTAGGAATAACTCACTTAAATCTGTCCAAACAAGAGTCTAGTAAACATCCTGGGAATGATAAAGTTTGAAACACAAAATCATAAATTATAATATAATAAATAATTATAAAAAAAAGAAAATAATAATAATACATTTAATTCAATAATGTAACCAAACCAAAAACACTGAAATTTGAAATAGAGTGTCAAGTTCGCACATCGCTGAGTTCAGTCGCAGAATAGTTTTCAGTGTCTGATGACGAATTTCCTCACAAATCATTATCACTCAATTCTGCAAGTGGTTCTAATTCATTATCGCTGTTTTCTAGCTGGTCTAAAACCGCTTTTGACCTAAAGGGACGCTTTTTGGATGCCATGGACATTTCTCAGTTTCCAGGCAGAAAGAATGGTAAAAGTGCAGGCAGGGCACAGGACAAAGCACTAGAGACAAAATGTATGTGAAATGGTTTGATACAGTAATGTAGTCCTAACAGATTACAATGTATCGTGTGTATGTCACATTTTTATTTTTTGAATCTCCCGCAGGTTCTGCCCCCCGTACTTCCCGACGCTCGCAGGGAACAGAACCCGGAAGACAGATGCCGACATCGGCCAGCGGACATGGGCGGGGGACACAGCGGGAGGACCTTGCAGGATCATGGGACAAGGTAAGGTGTTGCTCAGGGTTACTGCTTCTGGTTTTGAAATTAACCTCGAGCCACACTCGGGATTACCGCCAGGAAGGTTAAACTCAGCAGCTCCAAAAAATGCAGCTGCTGACTTTTAATAAACTCACTCTTACCTGTCCCGGAGTCCAGTGATGTTCTCACCCGCACGATCCCTTCTTGTCTTCTCTCCACAGCGCTGGCATTTCAACTGTGGGCACCAGGCTGTGACAGCTTGCGGCTTCACAACGGGTGCCCACTGCACATGCGAGAGTCACCCTGTGCCTCCTGATTGGTCTGGCAGCCTTCTTGGACCTGTGAAGGCCCCCAGGAGACTGTGGGAGGAAGGGGCCGAACTTCCGGGTCACTTTACCCTGGTGAACTGAGCCGGAAGTGGGAGCGGGTACCTGCCAAAACCAGGTACCCGCTCCTCTCCAAACGGAGCCAAATATGTCAGAGGGAGGGAGGAGGCAAACAAGTGGAGCTTCCACTTTTGGATGGTACTCCGCTTTAACTGAACAAGCTGAAGTTAGAAGCTGATTGGCTACCATGCGTACCTTCTCCAGTTTCTGAGTGCACCAGTTTTAGTAAATCACCCCCATATTGACCTATTTTGCTGAGGTCTGTATTTTTAAACACATAAATAGGGCAGGGCTTCTGGTTCCATTAAAAGGCAACTGCATGCAATGCTGAGGTTACTTGTAAGTGCAAATCATTTCATTCTGACACAAAGAATTTCTGTGCAGAAAGCCCAGCATGGAGAACAAACAACTGCTACTGTAACCACTGCAACTAAAAAACATTCTAAAAGAAAGTGGCTTTTATGTGTCCTTAAAGCAATTCTAAAGGTTATTTTTTTTTGTCAAATAACAAACATGTCTATACTTACCTGCTGTATTCAGTGGTTTTGCACAGAGCAGCCTGGATCTCCCTCGTCTTGGGTCCCCCGTAGGCTCTCCTGGCTCCTCCTGTCTGTCAGGTGACTTGGTCCCACACCCTATCTCTCCTCATTGGCTGACTGGCTGTGACTGACAGCAGTGGGAGCCAATACATTTGCATTTAATTGTTTTGCAGGAGCAGGGAAAGCTTTGCCATGTAGGACTCCTGCAGAACTGTCAGTATATCTCCTTGCCCATTCCCATCTCACTTTTTTATTTTCATCTGTTAAAGTGAGAATAATAAGCAAACAGCTCAAAATTTACAAATAAACATTTCTGACATTTAAAAAAAAAATCTCAGTAACCAATATAGCCACCCTTCTTTTCAATAACAATCATAAGCCTTCCATTCATGCAGTCTGTCAGATTCCTGATCTGACTTTTTGTGCAGCAGCAACCACAGCCAGACACTGTTCAGGTTTAGATCAGGTGGGGAAAGGGGTCATGCCATTAGTCTTTCATGTTTAAGGCATTACTGGCTAGCCAGACAGAGAAGCATAATTCATCACTCCAGAGAACACGTCTCCACTGCTCTAGAGTCCAGTGGCAGCATGCTTTACACCACTGCATCCGACACTTTGCATTGCACTTGGTGATGTAAGGCTTGGATGCAGCTGCTCGGCCATGGAAACTCATTCCATGAAGCTCTCTATGCACTGTTGTTGAGTTAATCAAAAGGCCAAATGAAGTCTTGAGGTATTTAGCTATTGACTCTGCAGACAATTGGTGACTTATGCACACTGTGTGCTTCAGCATGCCCTGAACCCGCTCTGTCATTTTACGTGGCCTACTACTTCGTGGCTGAGTTGCTGTTATTCCCAGTTGCTTCCACTTTGTTATAATACCACTAACAGTTGACAGTGGAATATATAGTAGCAAGGAAATTTTATGGATGGACTTACTGCACGGGTGGCAACCTATCACCATGCTTGAATTCACTGAGCTCCTGAGAGCGATCCATTCTTTCACAAATGTTTGTAGAAGCAGTCTGCATGCCTAGGTGCTTGATTGTATACACCTGTGGCCATGGAGGTGATTGGAACACCTGAATCCAATGACTTGGAGGGGTGTCCCAATACTTTTGGCAATATAGTGTATATACAGGTGAAACTCGAAAAATTAGATCTCGTGCAAAAGTTAATTTATTTCAGTAATGCAACTTAAAAGGTGAAACTAATATATGAGATAGACTCATTACATGCAAAGCAAGATAGTTCAAGCCATGATTTGTCATAATTGTGATGATTATGGTTTACAGCTCATGAAAACCCCAAATCCACAATCTCAGAAAATTAGAATATTACATGCAATCAATAAAACAAGGATTGTACATAGAACAATATCAAACCTCTGAAAAGTATAAGCATGCATATGTACTCAGTACTTGGTTTGGGCCCCTTTTGCAGCAATTACTGCCTCAATGCGACGTGGCATGGAAGCTATCAGCCTGTGGCACTGCTGAGGCGCTATGGAAGGCCAGGATGCTTCAATAGAGGCCTTCAGCTCTTCTGCATTGTTCGGTCTCATGTCTCTCATCTTTCTCTTGGCAATGCCCCATAGATTCTCTATGGGGTTCAGGTCAGGCGAGTTTGCTGGCCAATCAAGCACAGTAATCCCATGGTCATTGAACCAGGTTTTGGTGCTTTTGGCAGTGTGGGCAGGTGCCAAGTCCTGCTGGAAAATGAAGTCAGCATCCTCATAAAGCTCGCCTGCGGAAGGAAGCATGAGGTGCTCCAAAATCTCCTGGTAGATGGTTGCATTGACCCTGGACTTAATGAAGCACAGTGGACCAACACCAGCAGATGACATGGCTCCCCAAATCAACACAGCCTGTGGAAACTTCACACTGGACTTCAAGCATCTTGCAGTGTGTGCCTCTCCATTCTTCCTCCATACTCTGGGTCCTTGGTTTCCAAATGAGATGCAAAAGTTGCTCTCATCAGAAAAGAGGACTTTGGACCACTGAGCAACAGACCAGGTCTGTTTTTCTTTAGCCCAGGTAAGACGCTTCTGACGTTGTTTGTTGTTCAAATAGGTTTTGTTTTTTTTTTTTCTTCATTTTCCAAAAACTTGTGGCAACAAATGAGATCTGCAAAATACTTACTGTGCTTTTTATCAAATTCCTTGGGGTGTCTACTTTCCAAAAAGGTGTCATTTTGGGAGGTTAGGTGCTATCCTGGCATTTCAGGGCCTTCGAAACTGTGATAGGTAGTCCGGAAGTGTAATGAGGAAATAAATCCCTTTAAAAGCCTGAAGGTGCTTATTGGATTTTGGGGTCCTGTGCTTGGCTAGACTGCCAAAACGTCTCTCACATGTGATACCCCCATACTCGGGAGAAGTAGCAGAATTTATTTTGGGGAGTAATGCCACATATACCCATGGCATGTGTGAGCAGTAAATCTTTTAATTGACAATTTTGTCTAAAAAATATATTTTTTTTTTTGTCATTTTCCAAAAACTTGTGGTAAAAAAATGAATTCTTCTATTGATTCAACATGCCTCTCAGCAAATAGTTTGGCATGTCTACCTTCCAAAAAGGGGTCATTTTGGGGGGTGGGGGTGTTTTTATGCCCAGCATTAGAAGTTTATGCCACACATCACTCACTCTTCTAACCACCTGAAGATCAAGCCTTTTCTGACACTTTTTGTTCACATGAAAAAAATCAGTAGGAAATTAATTTAAACCCCCAAACCTTATATATTTTTTTAAAGCAGACATCCTAGTGAATAAAATGGTGGGTACTACAATTTTTTATGGCACATACTACTCGTGCAGCAATTTTTCAAAAGCAAATTTAAAAAACAAAATACACTTTTTTTACTTTTAATGCACAAAAACACAATATATTGGCCAATTATTTCATAAAATATAAAAGATTATGGTATACCGAGTAAATAGATACCAAACATGACATGCTTTAAAACTGCACATGCCCCGTGCAATGGCAACAAACTGCAAACAGTTTTAATATCCATAGGCAACGCTTTAAAAGCCTTTAAAAGCTACCATTTTAGATTTACAGAGGAGGTCTAGTGTTAGAATTATTGCCCTTGATCTGACATTTACGGCAATACCTCACATGCATGGTGCAACCGCTGTTTACATACCGGCACAGGGTCAAGGCTTGTGCACACAGGTGTACGTGCATGGGAGGGGTGATTTTTTTTTTTTTTTTACATTTGTACCTTTCATTTTTTTTTTTTTTTATCACTTTTAATGCTATAACAGGGAATGCAAATACCCCCTATAACTTCAATGGGCATTGTTATATATTCTTTCTTGAGAAATATGGGGTCTATCAGGCTCTAGATATCTCCTCTGCCCTTACATTATCTAATCAAACCAAAATCGGTGTGATCAGATGCTTTCCCAATTTACAAATGGCGCTGTTTATATCCTGTGAAACTGAAGTGATGAAATGCTTGTAGCTTCTGAATTCTTAGGCTATAGAGATGATTGGCACCATTCTGGTCTCAGCTCTATGGTCAGCTGGCAGAAACACCGGCTGCATTCTCAGGTTCCCCCGATGGCACGAGACTGCCCGAGAAGGCTGTGGAAGGCAGCGGGGGAGGGGGGGCATCATCTCCCACTGCTTGTAAAAGCAATCTTGCAGCTAATTAGCCACTAGGATTGCTTTTACATGAAAGCTGATCGTCGGCTGAAAAAAACGATACCAGGATGATACCTGCAGCTTCAAAGTCCAGTGATGTACCAGTACGTTGCTGGTCCTTGTTGGGTATATATACTATGTTCTTTTTTTTTTGTATGCAGCCTGTGGACTGAATGACAAAAATTTGAAGAAATCTCTGCCAGAAAAAGTGTGTGGTATGCCCACCATTAGAATATACCGCCCTGCATCCACCCACTTCTAATGGTGGGCACACATTAGGTCACACTTTGCCACAAGCGCCAGTTCCAAGATTGAACAAATGTCTAAATAGTGGCACACTTGAATAAAAATTGTGCACGTATAAGTGGTACCCCATATGGAAAAAGGATGACACAAAGTCCCAAACTATCTTGCCACTGCTCCCCATGTAGTCTGGGCATCCAGGCGGCTCCATGTTGCTATCTTTTCCCTCGTAAATCCGAAACTTATAAGTATAGCCTGTTGTCCTCTCACAGGTCTTCTACATCTTGACCCCATATCTGGCATGCTTGCAGGGGAGAAATTGTTTGAATGCAAGGCGGCCAGAAAAATTAATGAGGGACTTATCAACGCAGATGTTTTGCTGGGGAGTATAGACATCTGAAAATGTTTGGTTAAGGTGATTTGCGAGGGGCTGAATTTTGAGGAGCCGGTCAAATTCAGGGTCACCCCGAGGATGACAGAGTGTATTGTCATTGAAATGCATAAAACACATTATACTCTCATATCTATGCCTGGCCATGGCAGCAGAAAACACGGGCATATGATGAATTGGGTCATTCATTTCTTTTAGCAATGCCCATGTTGAGGGTTAGGCCCCAAAAAAATGTAAATTCGAAAACCGTAATGAGTTTCCATGCGACTGGTCTGGCAAGGTTTGAATTTGGGTTGGCGGCGATAAATTGTTGTGCATATAAATTGCTTTGATCCACAATCAACGAATAAAGATATTCTGTGAAAAACAGCTCCAAAAATCAAGGAGGTATGTTAAAGACCAAGATGTACTAGACCGCTGGTACTCACCAGTTCACCAAAAGGTAGAGCAGCACTAGTACTGACACTCTGCTGCATATGAAAGTCATCAAAATTTACCGGCAAGTGCTAACAGAGATCAGGCCTGATTCTGCGAACACTGCAGTTTTGTGTGCAATGTATCAAGTGACAGGGACCTACTGACACTGCACTTGCTAGAGGAGAAGGGGGGGAGTAAGCGTAGGGGCTAAACGCAGGTGCTGGCAGGTGCCAGGGCTGATCCCGCTAACACTGCATTTTTGGGGACGCCATACTAATGTGAACTTTGGTATAATGCTGATCTGATCAAAGATATTGACCCGTTCAGACACTATACTAGCAATGGAGGTTTATTGTACATGAGCGTGCTCCTGGCAATCAAGGGGTTAAATGTGATGACTAGTGTACTGAAGGGCAACCTGACATTATCTGGGAGGGGCGTGAAAACCACGGGAGAGTGTGAATCATGTATATATATATATATAAATATATATATATATATGTGTGATTTTGCGCACCCATGCCACCCCTGTAGCAGTATTTCTGCTATAGGACGGTCAGGAAGCTGTTACAGAAGTGTTTTGTGTTACAGCGCTTCGTTACTTTAACTGACAATTGCGCGGTCATGCAACACTGCACCCAAATTAAGTTTACGTCCTTTTTTTCCCACAAATTGAGCTTTCTTTCGGTGGTATTTGATCGCCTGTGCATTTTTTTTTTTTGCGCTATAAAAAGTAACTGACAATTTTGAGAACAAAAAACAATATTTTGGACTTTTTGCTATAAAAACATGTCCATTAAAAAAATGTAAAAATCTAATTTCATCATAAATTTCGGCCAAAATGCATTCTGCGACATGTCTTTGCTAAAAAAAAAAACCCAATACGTGTAAATTAATTGGTTTACGTGAAAGTTATAGCATTTACAAATGGTGGGAAAGATACTGGGATTTTTAATTTTTTTTTATACTAATAATGGCGGTGATCAGCGACTTATGGCAGGACAACGGGACTGCGGCGGACATTCTGACACTGGGGGGGAACTGACTTGGGGTCACTGACATCCCCAGTGACACCAATACAGTGATCAGTGCAAAAAACACTGACACTGTACTAATGGCACTGGGGAGGAAGGGGTTAACTTTTTTATTCAATGAAAGGGTTAACTGTGTGAGGGTAGTGTTTTACTAGGGGGCGGGGGTGTGTACTGCACGGGAACACCCTGATCTAGAGAGCTAAAC